TACTTACATTACTATTTCTGCCTTTACCACAGTTTAGTAATGTTTCGCATAAAATAAACGGCTACAAAAGCTGAAGCAGAATGTGCGCCTTTGTCCGGGGTTGGTGAGTTTGGTTAAGACGTGGCGACAAATATTTGTATGGCCTACAGATGTTTATTTTGAGCCCAGATGTCACCGTAAGTACATGTGATTCAAACACTGCGACCAACTGCGAAACATTATTTTTTAATTATTCCTCAGTTTAGTTAAGTAACTGGCTGTTGTGCGCAAGATAGATCTTGCAGAAAAAACTAATTAGTGTAAGCAGCGAGGCAGTTGGTGCTTGTCTAATTAGTTTTGAAACCACAAGCTATTAAACACAAAACGGTACTTGTCCAGCGCCGTTAGCTGGGCTGCATATATTATGCGATGTCTTTTAACTATCGACAGACTCCGATCAAGGTTCTCATATCCGTTCGCTAATATTAATAAACTTTATACGAAGAGGAACTGTAAAATTTATGAAACTAAAAAAGTCCGTACGATTTTATTCGACACGGGCTACTGACACGTAATTAGACTCGAGAATAATTAGTTTTTTTAAATATTATAAAAGAAACAAACTGAAATGTACGAAACACGTGTTAGGAATTAGAAAGACCAAGATAAAAGTAATTTAAGGGCAAAGTTGAGACCGCAATTAATTTAGAGATTTTTATGACCCACGAATAATAAGTTTTCAATGATTAAATTATAATGAAACACAAACTAATAGCTGCCTTTTGACGGCCCCGTATACATTAGTAGAAAGTGTTCGAAATTATCTCCGATCTAAATATAGGGGGCATTAGAAGTTCATTGATATTTTGACTTGGCCACGCCGGTGACCGAAATAGATGATTCCGGAAATGTGTAGAGGCATTCTAGGAAGACATTGATTATCAGGAATGTAGGCGGAGCGGGGTTGCTGCACAGGATGCTCCGGAAAATAGTGGACATACAACAGATGGTTCAGTGAGGTACACAATTTCTTAAATTGCAAGCTATGTAACAATAACCACAGTTCAAGTTATAGCGGTTTCTTATACTTATACCTGCGTAAGTTCGTGTGGAAGAAGACACGAACGTAACATGAAACACAAATCACAAAGCTTGTTCCATGCCAACATGACATAGCTAATAATAGCGCTCGGAAAGCTGTTAAAAAGTTTTTATGACAGAGCCCAAACTATGGCCATAATCATAAATATCTTCATTAAACAAAGTTGCCTCGACACCTTCTAAAACCTTTTTAAACCATTCCAAAGTTAATAACACTCCATTTTGAAACCCCTCACGGCTTGGCAACATTCTTTAGTGAAAAATTCCACCGAATTACCTTCAGGTACTTTAGGCTTGCTTAATTCATGCAAAATCGCTGACAATCCAGCCTAATTGCGCTACGGATACATTCATAAATCACAGCGAGGAAAACTCTAGTCATTCCCTTAGCAAATTACTTCGTATAAACTCAACACAATTATTTGGCCGAATATAAAAATACTGAGCGAATTTTGGTGTGAGTGCGACCGTGCGGGGTCCCTTAAAATTTACGGGGAAGTCGTAAGTGATGGATCATTTACATGGCCGTAAATTGCATTTGAATAAAAGTAATATAAAATCGTAATTTTCCTTTTTTAAATTCTTACAGAGGCTGTTAAGTTAAAAACGTGAAGGTTGAGGAAGTTGGTAAGTGGTGTGATACTCGGACAAGAGCAGCTATAAGTGTCTGCTTGAAGGCGACATTCATTGTTTAGCGGAACACGACTTCCTGACAAATGAATCCGACGTCGTAACGCTACCAGCTAGATCTTTGTAAATCGGAACTTATCTATCATTGGATACAGAATTTGAACATTTGGAAAAATGTAAGAACACACCCAACAAATTGCGAACACTTCCAACGTAGGTACCTAACTAGGTATTTTACCATATCGGTCAGTGAATATTTTTATAACCTAGGATTCCGGTGATAACCCAATTGCCCGAACATGTAGACTTGTTTAATGATGATAAAAAAATGTAACGCCACTCCTAACTATTTTTGAACATTTAATAGATAACAGGAGAGTGAAATCGATCGCAGTAACATTGAATTGCAGACGAGTGCTCCGTCACACGGCACACCGCTTCAATGAATGGTTTAGGGGAGATGATGCTGTAATGACTACGCTTGACTGGTGAATAGATGAGCTAAACGATATGTCACGCACACAGGTATGATCCCCAAACATGTGACTGCCTGAAAACGTTTCCCTTCTCTCCTATATGTTCCTGCAGAGGGTACACGATTTTTTGGACGTCAACGGAAAGTTTACGTTAAGTTCTTCGCGCAGGGGTCCGAAGGTGAGCTATCTCCCGAGTTGTGGAGGGTAAAGTTCGGTGCACAGGCCCTTCTTGCCTCCGACCGTCAAACAAAACAGGCGAAAAGAAGCCTTGCTTATTTTGTATCGAAATTGAATCAAAACAAAGTGATGCAAATCACAACAGATGTAAACGGAATCGTGGGCGAAGAAACATTGTTTTTGGTGGTGTTTACGTCATTCTGATGAAATGATTAGCAATTGAAAAAATCGAAGTATTTGCGAATCTGTTCAATAACCTTGACAATGTGACTTTGGTTATAACCGAATTTAGGTATAAAGTTAAGTCTTCAAGGGGCCCAGATTATGACTTTCGCAGTTAGGCTCTTTAAATTATTCTACAAGGCAAATATGATTCTTCCAGTAGTCAGTTGTTGATAATAAGATTTGTGTTTAATAAAATTTTGATAACCAAATGCAAAATTGATGCAAAACATCAATGTTTTGTAGACCAACTGCTGTGTTAATAACAAGCAAAGCTCTACTGACACTCAATTTAAGCCTGGTTTGGGTTACATAACATAATTTTGTTGACTAGGTAGTTATGAGTAGGATTCTGTTCTATTCAAACAGAGGGCCATGATAATTATCACAAACTATATGTTGTACAGTCAACAATAGAGATAAGTAGCCAGGGTCAATGAATAATGCTGAAATCTAAGAAGATATTTAGATGTGTTGTATAAATTATTAAATTAATTAGCTATGTATCTATCTATTTATAAGTTTCTTGATATTTAAATTCTTAAGTACTTAATTTAAACTCAAATTCATTTATTTGTTTTGTTAGGTGTTACAATGAAATTAGCAGTGTTAGCATGCCGTCTACAGTAATTTTCTAGATCTCTCATCATATCAGATACAATAAGTCCACTGCTGAACATAGGTCTCGCCCAATGCCATTCAGATAGGTCAATAGGAAATAGATGCAGGTCTCCTTATGTCATGTTGGATAGTTTATCCCTTTGATAAGTAATACATATTATATTCAAAAACTCATACAAGTTTTAAAGAAAATTTCAATTTTCCTTTAGTAGTTGATTGTACACAATGATATCAGTCTTGACACTGTAATGTTTATATCAGAGATTTTATCTATAATGTGAGTGATAACTGATCTAATACCAATATTTGTATTCAACTACAGTTTTGTGTTTGTAAATGCCGACAAATGCTAAGAACTGACAAGTAATAGAAAACTAACTATAATAGTTATATATGACATAAATAGTACACAGTAATTTGTTATTTATTACAATAAATAATTAAGATGCCTACAATGTGAAACAATGGAAGTTATCAAAACCACAATGACTGTAAAAAATGTTTGTTATTTCATTGGTTCTGTACCTATTAAGAATATAAAGATAATGACCTAAGTACTTAATAGTATAATGTATGATACAATGAAAAAAGAAATGGATGAGTTAGTAGATTGGTAAACATAACATCTTGGACTTGTGCGAAATTGACTAGAACAACATATCACAAAAGCAATAATAACAGATAATATTTCCAGGGATAAGTAGCCAAATATTACAATAACAATTTTAAGTAACTATTTGAGAATACTACACAAAAATCTTTAACAAAATCAATGTCATTGATTTGATTACTCTACAAATTAACAAACAATATTTAGAACAAAATTCTAGTAAAATATCTGAAAAACAGGTAGAAAAGGAGGTCACAACAAATATTATTGTTCATCTTAGTAACAGAATGCACATTTATTTAATTCAGTTCCGTTGGCTGAGCATTACGTCTGCTACTCTCCTTGACACGGTCTAAGCAGTAACAATATTCATTGTTACAATGCCAGAGCACACAATAATATTTAAGATAAAGAACATTATTATTTATTACTACCAACTTGAAAGAAGTTGTTTAAAATCAAATTAAACTTATCAAAATCTTTCATGATAGTGTCAACACGAAAATTATTGTTTCTATTGCTTTTGTTTATAGAAATTAATTTGTATCACACTAACTACTATAATTCAGCATCTAACATGTTCATTAATTGAGTTGATATATTATTATCCACATGATGAACCTCAATTTAACACTTCTATTTGTTTATCTTAGTGAAACTACTTATTATAACACTGAAAACCATTTCACATGACAGAAAATTCTTTTAAGTAATATCAGACTTAATAATTCTGTAGGTGATGAGTGGAATAACAGCTTGCAGATGTCCAAACACAATACAATGACTGCCTACAGTGGTATAATCTTTCAATCAGTCGTCCTAATTAATTATGGAGCACTAAAGTTGACAATAGCACATCAATAAGGTTATTGTTTGGTGCAGTCACTACTGTCTGGTGCAATCTGGTTATACAATAGACTGCCACTATTGTTCAACTAGTAATCAATGATTACTACAAGATTAATTCACTAACATTCAGGCATTAAGTCACAAGAGTTCCAATTTGACTATTCAAACCATACACAAGAACAGGTGAGTTAAAAAGAATAGAAAATGTATTGGACATTAACTTGAAAACCACCCCAACCTGTCTGTATTACTGTAACAGTAACTAGCACTAGTCGCAATATAAATAATATCCGTTTTTACATAAGCAGCTAGGCATTAGCATTCAAGTCACTGACCTGAGGCAAATTGGCGGCGATCTGTCTGTGCAGCGAGTCTCGTTCCTTCTCCACCTCCTTGAGCCGCAGCTCCGAGTCTCCCAGTCGCTCCTGCGTCTCCCGCAGGCTTTCCACCAGCTTATCTCGCTCATCGAGCATAGACACCATCAACTGCTCAAAATTCGCATCCTCACCGGATAACTGCGAACTCCTTTGACTGATACTGTCCTCCGATATAGTGGGCATCACGTCGCACATCATATTCCACATTTTAATTTAACATCAAACCAGAATACTTATCGTACACGACACACCGAAAAACACAATTTCGATCACCGTTTTATTACATATGTCCCGGCACAAACGTTACCTAAAACTAGCGCACTTAACGCGAGCAAGTTGTTTCACATCGTCAGAACATTCGTATAAGACATTAGTCAAGAATTCGGGAGACATTCTAGTTCGATATTTAGAAAGACACACCTAAAAATCGTAATCCTACGATTCCATACTATCATGGCTCAAGCGGCATGTCTGCCATCTTGGAATGGAACGTCAATCAGAACAAAGAATATCACTAGAGATAATACTTAGTCTGCAGACGCGACAATCCTTTGTTCGAAGTAAAAAAGAACTTAATCGCTGTATTTACACCTATTACTTACTAAATATCGTGCATGTGCATTAGCGATTCTATTATTTTCATAATCAACAAAAAAATTAGTTAGTAATATTCAGGGCTAATTTATCTATCACCTTGTAGAACTAAAGTAAATTCAATGAATTAAAAAGTGAAGTCTGAAACTAACGTACGAATATTTTGATGCTCTTTGTAAATTATTATTTATATTTTTTTTTCCTTTTATTTCCTTTGCTAAGTAGTTTTGTAATTTTGTAGTTTTAAATGTATGTATTGTTTTTTGATATCAAAAAGGCTGAGACTAATTATTATTTATGGTTTGGCTTACAAACTATTATTTAAAAAATGAGTCAATTAATTGGGGGCGTTAAAATAAAGGTAATGAATCTCTAAGATATCTTTCATTATAATTTTATCCATTACCGTCGTAGTTTAAAAAGCAGTATTTGGACGTACGAATGTTTTGTACCTACCCTACACTAATATTTTAATCTTTGTTACTATTTCCTTGTAGTGTCGACAGAGGTCGTTATAATACTGCATGAATGAATTTTACGAAGCAAGCTACTCATAAAAATTTTAATCTGTATTTTAAACTTTAATTAATTATCTTAATTAGTTTTACTTTCATTAAAATATTTTTTTTCCAGTTAAAATAAAAATCAATTACGACTTGAAAGATTTATGATTATTGAGTAAAATGTTGCATAAATAAAAAGTACTGGACAATTGAAATACAAAAATACAAAATAATGGGTTGAGTAATTGAATTTGATAAGTATTTGTGTAATTTTAATATATCATAATAATTTGATCCCCACTTTTTTGTTTCAACTGAGCCAAAATGCCTGAAGCCAAGTTGGATTACAAATCGTGAGAAATTGAGATATTCCAATATTATGTATTCAAGTTAATTAACCACAGGATTAAAACCTAACTATAGATTAAAGTTACACGGTTTATTTATGAATAATTAATACTTATTTGCAAAAACTAACATGTTTTAGTGTACAATTTTTGTTGCCAGCGCCACCTAGCGGAGTAGACAATAAACCGTTGGGCGACTGCTTTCAGCTTATTTTGTAAAGCTTCATTTTGTTTCAGGGACAGCACGCCAAAACTTTGCAACATTTAATTTATTATCTTTCACTTATTTGTTGCTTTTATTGTAGCTTAGAGAATTTATTAGATTCTCTAAAGTATTGTAGAATTCATGAGCCTTTTTTTCAATGGATACTTGATTTTAAACTTTATAAAGAACAGACTCCTATCTCGCTTGCACCTACTTAGCCAACTACAAAGGTTTTGAATTGAAATTAACTTTGAATAGATTAGTCAATAGGTGCGATTACAAGCATACACAATTATACATCACATCCAGACGCGGAACAATACCTATATCTTGTGCATTATATCAGGTGTTGTTCCGAGCGGGAATCGAATACACGCGTCGTTGTTTTTGTGACATGATTTTAGAGGTGATGGTTTTTTTGTATAGAGGCTGAAAATCATCGAATTACTGCTCCCGCCTGGGTGAGGCGGGAGGGAGTGTCAGACTCTTACCTACTGATTAAAAACCACCCCGATCCTTCTCCTGCCCGTCGAGCCGGAGCCCCGGTAACCCTTTAGGTTCTCCGCGACTGAGGTGATGGTTAGGAAGCAGGAGAGTGATAAAGGCTATGTTTTTTCCTACGATCACGCGAGCAAAGCGGCAGGTAATAGTTAGAAAATAAACGTATCAACAGAAACTTTACAAGAGATTATTTTCTAGTTTAGTATTATAATACGCGCAAACAGCTACGCATTACATACATACATAACTTCACGCCTATCTCCCATGAAGGTAGGCAGAGACTATGGAACGCCAGTTACTACGATTTCTACATACTTACCTCTTTTGTTTCATCAACAGTCATCAATCTTTTCATGCATGCTCGTCGGTTAAGGGTACTTTTAATTTGGCCCTTCTTTAATATACAGCCAATCTGGTCAGTATATGTTCGTCTAGGGCGCCCTCTACCGACGGCCCCATTGCATCCGCTCTGTATACTTCTTTCGTTACTCTACTTTCATCCATTCTTTCTACATGTCCAAACCAGGGTAATATTCCCTTTTCGATTCTTGGCACTTTCAATCCACACCTATCTTTGATAACACTATTTTTCACTCGACCATTCAATTTTAGTCCACATCTATCAAAATATTCCCAGTTAAATATGAGGTCCAAAAACGAGTTGTTATTCCAACCTATGATTGTGTGATCGTGACCTTAGCCGGCTGACCTTAAGAATGACCACTGATTAGTATTACTAGCTTGTTTTGTTAGCTCCAGTCTTAATACTGCCGTTGGAGACGAGTGTTATAGAACATGTTTAAGCTCTGTGTGTTCCTTGCTTTGGGTTTTGTGGTAAGTTAGTTATTTTATGGATAGTTTTTCCTAGTCTATATTTACTAGGTACTTAAGTCTATTAGAATAATTTTGCCACATAAATCAGGTGTATTGTAACTATGTTAACTTCTTAATGTCCGATTATGAAAAATCCACAACATTTGTTCATACAAAAGTAGTCTCTAAGTATCGGATATAAGGTTTGCAATGGTGTAAGTGGAGAGCGGTCACCAGTGACCGATCTTGACCAGTTAATGAAAAATTAGCTATAACTAGGTACTAAGTTTTGTATTCTACCGTAAATATAAGTAAGTAAGTAGGTACGGTATTAAAATTAATTCTATTTAGATGCGGTCGAGCGTTTTTGCATTGTTATTATTACTACACACATATCTACATGATTACATCCTCACCTTGGATTTTAGTTAGATTGTATCAATGAAAATAGTTTAAAATCTTAGTATAGACATAGATTTGGACCATTTAGATCTTCGAACAACAGTAGGTATTGTTGATCGAAGAGATCAACTTGGTACTAAATTATTACTATGAATACTTACAAACACTTAGCAAAATAGATAGACGTGGACATTGATAGCGAGGTTATTGTACGGAGTTATCATTTGTACATGTTTTGTAAACACGTATTTAACTTCAAGGATTAGTTAAGTGCCCAAATTATTTATCACATAACATAACAGCACGCCTTTTATCCCCGAAGGGGTTGGCAGAGGTGCACACAGAAGTATGACCCACTTTTCACTGTTTAAGTTATGAGTTCCAATCTCATGTAATGGGGGGTGAGCCTATTGCCATATAGCGGGCACATTTCCAGACTCCGTGCTACTACTGAGATTTTTTTTAAAAACCCAGTAATACTTTGCCCGACCTAGGAATCGAACCCGAGACCCCTTGCCCGGCAGTCGCACTTGCGATCACTCGGCCAACGAGGCAGTCAGTATTATTTATCAGTTTCGTATTATTTAAATTAATCTAATTTAATCGTGAACACCTGTAATTGGCTTCTTGTTGCATCCAAATGTGTAAATAAATAAATTAATTAAACCAAACTTAAATCAAGTACCTACCGAACTTTAACTAGGTACTTAACTCGTCGAGTACCGTCATTATAGACACAAAGAACAATAGGTTGCGGTCACCAGTGACCGCTTGGTGTTTCACAGTTTAATTAGGTACCTTTTTTTTAATTAATAATAGGTTATAGGGCTTTATAAAGTTTTTGGTGCAATGAAGAACATATTTTGTGGCTTCCTACGTACCTAGCTATAGATTTGACTAGTTCGTTCCAGTCATTCTGTCATGAAGGTAATGTTCCATCATCATTATCCTATCGGTGTACGAACATCTTCCATTAAACTGGGGCAATCTTTTGATAGATCGTGTCTCATCACTGTCACTCAGTAACTCTTCCTTTTGGTTTTACCGTGAACGTGTGTGTAAGCTCTTCAAAATATAAAATGTAACGTAGGGTAGGTTTGTATACAACTTAGAAAAAGCTCAAAATTAATTTAATTTATATTCTTAAATCTTTGCTTCTTACCTCATTGGTCGCAAGTTTGACTACCGGGCAAGGGATCTCGGATTCGATTCCCGAGCCGGGCAAAGTATTACTGGGATTTAAAAAAAAAATCTTAGTAGTAGCATCTTCTTTAATATATCTGTGAGTAGCACGGAGTCTAGAAATGTGCCCGGTGTATGGCAATAGGCTCACCCCCTATTACATGGGACTCATAACATAAAAAAGTGAAAAGTGGGTGTTAGAGGTACATTGTACATACATTGTATACTGCCATCAAGAGCAGTAATGTGCACCTCTGCCTCCCCCTTCGGGATAAAGGCATGAAGTTATGTGTGTTAAATCTTTGAAGAGGTAGAGGCTTGCTTACCCAGTAAAGACCTTTTTGTTACACTTGTTTTAACTTGGCGCTTGTCATGTACCTACCTAATTTAACAAATAATACTTACTTAGGACCATCACGGAATTTGCCTCTACAAAAAAGACTAAGTACTAGGGAAGTAATTAGTAAATATAAATGCGGTTTCGATTACAACATAAATCACAGAAACATTAAAAACTTTATCTAGATAGAATAGACTGTAAAATGATTCATGGGAAAAGCATACCTACATTTTTAATAACTGAAATATTACTTACCTACTTATGACACCAAATCAATCGGTGTTGGGGGCGAACACAGAGCCTTTTTATGTTCTGTGGGGGCGAAACAGTAGTAAATGCAATGAATTAATTTACTTGCCTAACAGGAACTTTTAATAACATTTTACACAATGTGTCATCTTATAAGATAAGTCATGAACTCACCTATACCAAGTTTATTTATATTGGTGACTGAATCTCACATACCGAGATTATATAGGTTCCTACCTACGTGATGTGCTGTGCTAATAGCGTTATGGGTACCTACGCAACTCTTAATTGGTAATATACTTATACGAATTACTATGTCCTACATAGGAAGTATCTCTTGATTAGCTAACAGTGTCTTACGTTAATTTATTGTACTTAGATCTTTGTCTCTAAGATATCATCATCAACAGCCTATAAATGCCCACTGCTGAGCAAAGCCTCTTCTCACACGGAGAAGGTTTGAGCATTAATCACCACGCTTGCTCAATGCGGGTTGGCGATTTCAAACTTATAATTAGAAATTATAAGTTCAGGTTTCCTCACGATGTTTTTCCTTCACCGTTTGTCAGTGGTGTCTAAATAATCTTAGAAAGTACATATAACTCGGAAAAAGTCACATTGGTACTTGCCGTTGGTAGGTTTCGAACCCGCACCCTCATGCATGAGAAGTGGGCGTCTTAATCCTCCGGGCCACCACGACATACAAAGTCTCTAAGATATGGATTGTCAATATATGTAGTTACGTAGATGATGACGTCTTTACCTGTAAGATATGGACTGTCAAAAACAATCAGCCGAACATAGTACCTCCTCCTTTTTTTGAAGTCTGTAAAAATATAGTTCGTTAGAAGATGGTGATGTGATCTAGTAACTCGACCTTTGGAAAGGCGATCACAATATAACAAAAAGTTTAACTTTACGAAACTGATATCCTTTAAGAGCAGCTACGATACTTTTTGTTTTTATTTTTATTTTATTTTAGGCATGCCACGGGGCGCCAAATAGTAATCCTGGAACCCCAAATGCCAACCCTGGAACTTACTGCGGCGTGACACCGGATAACGTAAGTAACTACTATCTTGAAACTACATACCTACTTCCAGAATTATAGATAGATTGGATAAAGGTAGGAACATTATCAATACATAGTATAAAACAAAGTCGCTTTCGCTGTATGTCCGTATGTATGCTTAGATCTTTAAAACTACGCAACGGATTGTAATGCGGTTTTTTTTAATAGATAGAGTGATTCTTAAGGAAGGTTTGTATGTATATACATATTGCACCCGTGCGAAGCCGGGGCGGGTCGCTAGTTTTTTAATAAAATAAAATGTTGTTCTACACTAAGATTTTCTCCCGTAAGCTAAATTACATTATACGCAGACCCAAAGTGATAATTGTTCGGGAAACGAACCTAAGACCAGTTGCACAACAGAACATACCTTCTTTATATGTTCTGTGAGTTGCACAACTTCTACATATAATAAACAACGATAATTATCAACCCACATAACTATCCCTAATTTTACTGTTTCTTAAAAATATTTTATAGCAGAACACACCAGGATATAATATGATTTAAATATGTCCTTTTACAGATATACAGGTGCCTGAACAATCCTCGAGTGGTGGCCCCTGAAGTGTCTACCAAATGTGGCAGTCAATTCACAGAGGTGAGTTCTGCAATGTCATACTAGTATTATGCTGAAAGATGTACGCGAGGCTAAGTTTTCTAAGTTTAAGTGTGGGAGAGCCATCAGCCATGCTACGGCATAAATGGGCTTGACTGGAGTGGCCTCACAGAAAACTGATATGAAACGTGAAACAACGCTTACGTCGTGTTTCGTCATGTCAGTGAGGTTACGGTAAGCCCAATTACCCCCCTCCCTTCCCCAATCTCCCCAATCCCTGAATCCCCAAAAATCCTCGAATTAGTATTCCCGAAAAAGTCGGTAACGCACTTGTAACGCCATTGTTGTTCCAGGTGTCCACGGGCGACGCCGATTGCTTACCATCAGGTGATCAGTCTGCTCGTTTAACGGCTTATCCCATAAAAAAGCTATTTGTCTGTACACGATCCAGTTGTGTTATGAAGCCCAGTATATTTATACATATATGTACTCATAGTATACTCAACTTAGGTACGAGTTTGGATCATGACTATGAGCATGGAGGCACCGAAATGATTTATATGAAAGATCAGTTGATACCGATTTTTGGATTAGGATCGTTTAATAATTTCTCTATCCGCTATTATTCTCTTCCAGTGTGAAAAAATGACCTGCATCTTCCGTGAATTGAAATGGTCGAAACGTGGAGCAATAGACAAGGCGAAAGTGAGGGCATACTTCGATCAGTACGAGACGGAGCACCCTGAGTGGGCCCAGGCCGTCCAGCATGTGAAGGCCTTCTGCTTGGCCTCCGAACTCCGGGCCCAGGGAGTGTTCCTCAACTGCCCCGCTTACGACATCATGCAATGTGTCCTGGCTAGCTTTATCAAGGTAAATTTCTGAGTAACAATTATCATTAGTATTATCTGGAGATATGAGGATTAAAAACTCAATTGTCGGAAACTACTCAAAAACTCGGGGATTACGTCTAATCTAACAGTATGTTGTCAAGTTGTGCACCTGCAGCTGTAATTAACCAATTTATCTTATAACTTACAGCACGCCAGCCCATCCGTGTGGTCGACCGCGACGGACTGTGCTTACCCTAAGGCGTACGCCGCGGACTGTCCAGTCTGCCCGTCTGACTGCTACTCTCCACAGATCCCCTACGGCTCTTGTAACGCCTGCTACACCCAACCACGTACAGTCTAAACTAAGTATTTGTATTATAATTAAATATGTTTAAACTGCAAATTATATTGTAAATCCCCCATGTAGTTGTTTTATTTGAGACGATTATCAAAATAAAATGTCTGTTTATAACAGGGAAGAGGCCTACCAAACATTAATGCAATGTTAACACCAAATTTTCAGCAGATTAATAGGATGACAAGGACATAGGTGTATCGGGTATCAAACTCTAGACTTTTGACTCAGATATTTAGATCCCAAGACTCCTCTATCAAATTGCCTTTACGACTCATCGAAAAAGAAATAGCAAAGGTAACTTGTAGCTGAAATGTAACTACATAGTTGATTAAACCTTGTCATTATGCTTGTCTTAAACAATTCATCTATCGCTATTATTAAGTAGGTACATAAAAGTGCATCAAACTAGTAAATCCCCTGCAATAACACAATCATAAGCTTTAGCAAATAAAGCAAAAATCCAGTTTCAATTGAGGCTTTAATTTCCTGCGCCACGTCATATCCTTTAGTTTATCGAGCGCCTCCCTTCCACCCACGGTTTCGCGCTCTCCCCGATAATTTTCCACTGGCTTCCCGCGCATGCGTCCCGCGGTGCGCCCTCTCTGACACCTGTCAAAATCAGTCTGTGCCTCCCCAGTGCCGCGTACTGTTTGACGTCATTGCATCCATAATTACGGGAAAATCCAAGTGCATTTTGGAGAACCATGTAATATTAGGTAAGTGGAAAACTCTATGCATTTCCTTGAAAACTCCTTTTGTTTCAATTTTTATTTGGATTTAACGGAAAATGTTTTTAATTTCAATTAACGGGTGATGATTCTTTTTTTAATGTCGAAGGTTTTCATTGGAGTGATGAATCTGATTTCATCTGTTATAATTGTAATTTACTTTCAATTAAACTATGTGTTGTGTGATCGATCGATTATAATATTTGAGACGTAGTCGGTGGATATGACAGCGTTCGTTCTATTTATAGCCTGATGGTTTGTGTGATAACAATTGCTTGTACCTGTATTCGACTGATATTGCGCCTGTCTCATGACCTTTAATCTTAATGGCATCCCGTTTGATGGCCATTGATTAGACTGGAGTACTTCATTGATCAATAAAGATGTCCATTAACTAACATTTCGATGAGAAATGTCTATGAGTTATGGCTCATAGACATTTTTCCTTCAGCGCCCGGCTTCGGTCGGTAGCTCACTTTCTGGGGAAATAAGACGATATTATTTTATATGAGAGTTCTTTAATTACAGCTGGAAAGTAGTTTTTAATTACGAAATGAGCTAGATCGTCGATCGTAGAAAACAGGGACCTGAAATGAGATTTTTAATTCAATATCTTAGGATAGTTCTAGATCGATTACAAATAGGTATTATTATTTATGAAAACTAAGTAACCTTCAGGGTACTCGAAAGTGATGACTGAAAAAATAAAAATATTATTGTGTTCACTTGATTCATCAAGTTGTAAAACAGTTAATTGACATAATGATGTAGACAGACGACATTATTTCGTCCCGATTAACATTTTTGTCTCATGAACATTAATTTTATCACATTCTTGAAATAAGCTGGAAACGAAATACCTATTCATCCTGAATCGTAATACCGACAACATGGCGTCGGTGACAGTTGCATATCACTTGCATAGCTGTTCGTTTATGAATAGATGAGATGTGATGAATTATAATTTCTATATGAATACTATAATATTCATGTAATTCACATCCTTATGAAATACTGCATGTTTTAAGTAAATAAGAATACTTAGGTATATGTATAAGTTCGTCTCTTGTAATACCTAATGCTTACAATTATATTGGCTTCCTTGTTAGGTAGGTACGTTCTTTTATCTACGTAAACAACACACGAGTGTTTAAGTTCATTTCCCAGGGTACATAAAACTATAAACTACATATTTAACTAATTAATCACTTTTGCTTCAAATCCGTAAATTACCCAGCTACTCCATAGAAGTCATAGAAGTCAAAATATGGTGCGCTATAAAATTGTCTCGTGATAAAAGAAGGCCTTGATCTAAACATTACGTGGGATTATTTTTAAAGAGTTTAGTTACATTACAACAGACCTATTTTGAACCGGATGCGAACTCGAAATAAAGACAGCGCTTAATACTTTAAAAAAATCGGCAATGCATTCGGAACTCCTCAAGCCGCATCATCGCCTAGGTAGGTACCATCAAGCGACTGTGACTTATAGTTGACCTATTACTAGACAAAAATAACATCACAACAACAATTAGTTTAGGCGTCGTAAACATTAAAATAAAAATTAAGTCCTTGTCAAGAAAGTCATCAAAACTCATTAATGTTGGCAGCGCCGGCGACTTGATAAGATGTGACCTTATCCCGGATTACTTAGTTAAAGATTGTCGCTTCAGGGGCTTAAGAACATTGATTGGAAACAGTCGCAATCCCGAGATTAGGAAACTTTTAAATGCTTTTTAGAAACATTGGTTTTAAGGACAGCCAATCTGTCTTCTGTTTGTGAACAATCTGATGTTGTTAAGTATCTACTTAGTATAAGACATCGCTGCATTATTCAAATAAAAATCAAATTATAATCCATTTGCTTTATTTCTCTGTACATAAGGTATTTACTATTATGTATTCTAAAGTGTTTTTATGCCATAAGCCGGTAAACGAGCAGACGGATAACCTGATGGTAAGAAATCGCCGTCGCCCGTGAACAACCGGAACATTAGAGGCGCTACAAGTGCCTTACCGGCCTTTTGGGGATTAGGAATTTGAAGATTGTTGGAGATTCAGGAGTTGGGGATATTGGGGAGGGGGGAGGGTAAGTGGTTTTTTAAATTCAAATATCTTTATTGCTAAACACAATACATTTAGATGCATTGCAAGACGTTATATTATTCGTAACCTCCGTACTGGTACTACGGTAACCTCACTCATTCGACGAAACACAACGGAAGCGTTGTTTCACGTCGGTTTTCTGTGAGGCCGTGGTATCACTCCGGTCGAGACGGCCCATTCGTGCCGAAGCATGGCTCTCCCACACTTTGCCGAAGTGTGTGTTTAATGAGAACCTCCTCCATTTTTTGAAGTCGGTTGAAAATAAGTATCAAATGTTGTAAACAAGTAATTGAAATTCTACCTCACGCTCGGGGCGACTATAAAACGCAAAATATAACAACGAATAAGTCTCAAGCTAATATTTTTCTTATTCGTGGTATTTTAATCAAAAGAAAAAGATTTTGTCTCTAAATGCCGTCTTACTTGAAGAACACTAATATCTAAATTAATTTATCGGTTCATCCCATTCCCGTCACACATGCCTTATTCTAGCTTAAATAGAATCACAAGTTAATATTTCCGCTCAATATTTAATTATAGACCCCAAGACCAGATTACATGTTTGCAGAATAATAATCTTTGTATTGTGTGTACACGAACCCTGAAATTGATTGAATCAGAAGTCATTTCGGGGTAAATCCATTGTGGCTTACTCTGCATGCCTTTTTGGGCTCATCCAATATTTCTATCACTAATTTGAAAGAGTTTTATGTATTCTATAGAGGTATAATGCAAAATGGAAGGGTAAACATCGTTCTAAGTATATTTACTTGGGACGTTTAAGGTTTCGGGCTAATCTGGGTATGGATTACTTAGATTGAAGATCTTTGCTTCACATGTAAAGTAGAATATTCAATCTTTCCCACAGTTTTCCAATTATTGGTTTTTCTTTTACGCTTACGTGAACTTTTCCTCAAGGAGGCCTCACAATCACAATACATTTGTGATTGGACTTTTTATATAAGAATTTCGCATAAACGCCGTTAATATCCGATTCCAAAATGGCGTGTCGTTATTTTTATTTTTCATTAGTACATGGCCGGCGGCGGACATTAGCATCTAAATGAATTTCTATCTGTCGGAGCGAAATTGTGACGTTACCACGTTACGCGCCCCAACTCTCCTTGCTAATGCTAATGGACATGATTTTACTCAACAAATTGTTTGAGAGAGAATTCTTTGATAGAATTTGGCAAGTGAAACACAAAATAAATAAGATACAGCAACATTAAAGTGTTTTTTGGCACTGGTACCAAATCGCAGCAACGTTTTATATAATCCAGTATGTCCAGGGCGTACGATATAAAGAGCTTCTTCAGATGCAGTATAATTTAAAAAAAAAGAAGAACGCCTGCAAGTTTCACTGCTAAACTTAGCAGTGTGTGTGTTTCAAAGGTTCCCAATTCCCAAGTCCGTTAAAGTATTACCAACTGAATTTCTACGTAACATAAACATGAAAACTGTTTCATAAAATTAAATAAACATTATATTATATGTACGTGTGCCTTTGCCTCTTGGGACACAAGTACTTGTACTAAAAATAAGGTGCTTATAAAACCTTTTTTAAATCTAGGGTAACTAAAATTAAACCTCTACCTATCTTTTACAGGGAACTAGTAAACAAAGTACCCGCCTACCCCCAACGCCCACCCAGACACGTTCAGAATTGCTCAGCCAATATTTGAACAGAATTTAAATCAGATACCTATCTGTTTCCACTTCCCTGCGCCCAAATAGATGTTTATGTAAACTATTTTGAACAATAATGACACTTAAATACATTTCTATTGTCTGCGATATTAAACTTAATATCTATTTGACTATGAATCTAATTTTATTGCAGTCTTTTGTTTGTTTTGTCACATTTCGTATGAGGAAAACAACAACATGTTGTGTTAGTTAATTTGTTTTTGTTTTTATTACACAAGTGTCTATAAATATAATTATATACTAACATCACTGTTTTATATTCTCAAGAGGGTAGAACGTATGGCCTATAAGAAAACATAGGTTTCATAACAGAGCTAATGACTTCAATCAGGCATAATTTCAACTAGATGTTTAAGGCTATAGGTACCTAATGCTGTTGATATTACAGATATCGAAAAACTCATTATTACTTTGTTCATCCTCCTGTAATTAAGTATTTGCTTCGACGAAACTTATCAAGAAAAATAACTAACGAAGTACATCTAAGTATTTACGTTATAATATAATCTGATATTCCTTTTAGTGTTTATGTTATGTATGCACCTAATCTAAAGAAAAGGTCTTTGTTTACATAGCTGTCGCTTCTAGAAATCGGTTTAACGAGGTGTGTATGTGTGTGACGTAAACCCCTTCAATCCGATATGAAATGCGATGATGCATGACATGGCCATCGAGATTTTCTTTGCGACTTGACACTGTTCAAGAAAATAAAGGTTTTGTAAGTTTTGTATAGAGCTCTCTGGTCGGACCCTTTTCAATTGGTGATGTTAGAGACCTTTCTGTTTCTACATACGTGTCATTTTGGTTAATGCAGATTCGCCATTTGTATTCTTCTTCGGATCTCTCGCCCACTTTACGTGCCTACATTGCACATTGATTGCATAAATAATCTTTGATCAAAAAAATCATGGGGCGATCATTATAAGAATGTCATCAAAAGCCCCAGGATTTTTTAAAAACACAAAGCGGTTTTCTATTTTCTGAAAATCTGCTTTAATTGTTGAAAAATTCTCGAATCGAATCTGACACCTAGTTAACATTTTAGATTCAAAGTCTTCGATAATATTAGTGTCTTTTCGGTCGTATCAGTAATGACATCACACTACAAGATAAATAATACAAGAACTGAATTAAAATAGAGAGAAGAGTATTCTCTAGCAAAAGATCTAC